ATAGGTACACAGACGTACAATCAAAGCAAATACTGAAATGGTTAATGGCTGGTTTGATTTCTAAAGTTTTTTTCTAAAAAAAGTAATGAAAGATATATTATGCACAAGTTTTTATTATTTCCCTGTACACATGAGACTAAAAAATAAGAGACTAAATAAATGGAGAAAAACGGAGACTAAATAGATAGAGAAAAATAACCTAGGAATAAAATCCAACAGCAGATGTACATCAGTCTCCAAAGGAAGGAGCAGAGGCAGAAGTAGGAGATATTTTCCAGTTAAGGTGGCAAAATACAACTAATTTCAGGCTGTAACAAACTACACAAATACTTAGTGCAGGAAAATATTTAGATTAGGCTGGATAGTTCAGGAAATTCAATTACTTCAATATTGTGTTCCCCACCTTCCTGAAGGAGAGGTCACAGTGCAACAGTCCCTTTACAGTATCCATAACCATGCTGGCTGGCTGGCTGCTGGGGAGGAACAGAAGCACAGAGGAAGGTGCAGTTAGAGCACCCACCTCCCTGTCTTCCACTTCTTCCCAATCAAACACAGAGGCTCTGTAGAAGGCAGTGCCCAGGTTTTGAGAGGTTAAGGGAGGCATGCTGTCCAAGGTAATATACAGCAAGCTACAAAACAAATACCGTGAATTAGCAGTATGGATTTTAATATTGCATGATGGCACAGGTGATAAAAGACTGTTTTTATCTATCCCACAGCACTGTTGCAAACACAGTGCTGGTGATCACTACAGAAAGGTAATATTTTCTCTACCTGTGCAAACTAAAATGCAGCAGATTGACAGCAGCAGTAAACAAGTTTGTTGTCTGAGACATCAAAAGCATCATGCAAAATGTAAGGACCACTACACTGGAAAGAATGCTCATTAAATGGGGAATAAGTTTAGGACCAGTCCAAAGCCTGTTTATATCAGCTTCAATCTCAGTATGAAAGACAAAGAACAAACAGAATAGCAGTTCTCAGATATGAAAACTATAACATCAGCAGAAAGCAAACACAGAAAAGGCATAGCAGAATTCATGTCAGCTCTTAGGATTTTCTACTTTGTGGAGAAAAAAATTAAGTACAAACTCTTTTAATCCAAAGGCTGATAAAGATTGACAAAGTGGTGCTGAATTGTACTTCCCTTGGTGACAGAAATAAGAATTGTCCTGTGATTGGTTGATTCTGTTTTGAAACACATTTTAATGAAAACTAATCATCAGTGGCTCATGCTGCAGAGTGCTTGTATGATGCCTGCACAATAATCTGGACTGCTTATTTTGCTGGCAGCCATTATTAGATTTGGTCCCTTAACATGAACTTGCAATCAGTCCCAGTGCTAGCTGACTGCATCTATTCCTCCTCCAGTCCATTTTAGCAACTTGACCAACGTGAAAGACATTATTTCTTGATCTCTCAACAAAACAAAACTTTGCAAGCACAGGAAGGGGAAGGAGGCTAAACTGGCATTGATTATTGAAGACACATTAATAATTTATTATTTATCAGCCTTGACATCCATCTGTTGCACACATGGCTCTTTCTGCAAGACTCCCAACATGTTTTAAATGATTCTAAGTAAGCATATTGGAAAACAGAATAAACTTAGTTCTTTCATACAATGAGGACTCCTTAACATGCTGCACTAAAAGGCAACTAGCCTTTATAGAAACACTGCATCCCTGCCAATGTCTTCCCTGGTATACATATAATAGTCCTGTTGATATTTTACTTTCAATTTCCTCAAGTAGCAAAACTGTCATGTTAATCACTTAAGGACACTGTAGCATTTCTCATCATGGCAGGCCTTCTTTTGTCCCTGTCAGAAATTACTTTAAACTTTATGTTTTAATTCCATAATTAAGTTTTGCATTAGACCGTTTTAATACAGAAAAGACATTTAGCAGTTTGCTTTCCAGTTCAAACAGTTCTTTATGAGAAACATTATCTTTACTGCTACAGACTTTATCTTCTACTTGCTTACTCAAACACTAGTCTAAAGCAATTTTTTGCTGAAAAAACTCTATGACCTGTATGGGGAAAAAATCAGAGCTGTATCAGAAATATTACCCAACAATTCAAAACTATTGCAGGACATGACATCATCCAAAAATTACTGATCACCTCGACAGTCAGATTCTGTAATTATGTTATAGCCGCTGAAATAAAATATGCTATAACAACCTCCATTCTGCTAAGTGCTCATGCACTTACCCAAAACACTCATTCAATACTGTTTATGCCTTTTTAGAGGAGTCCATAAAAACAAGAACATTTCTTCTCTGTGAAACACTGCATTTCCTCCTTCTTCACCCACTCCTACCTAAATATAGACTCGCCTCCAGCTTTTTTTCATTACTGTACACCCTACGGACAAAATGGATTAATTCCTCATCTAAGTCAAAGTCAGAACTTCCATTTACTTTTAATGACACATCTAAATGAACTCCAAGGCTAAAGAACTGTCTCAACCTCTAAAGGATGTCCAGAAGTAAAAAAAAAAAATATATATATAAAAAAGAAAGAAGCAAAAAACCAAAGCATTTCTTTATTTTGGAGACTAACCTGTCTCAGTTTTTTCAACTGCTAAACAGGTAACTTAAGATTACATAGTGGAACAAAAGAATATATGAGAATATAAAACAAACCACTCGTACAAACATTGTTTTAAGCATTTCTGAATTATTACACTGTGTAGTGTATATCAATATTTGTATTACATTTATGAAATAATGCTATGCAAATTCCTAGTGCCACTTTTATACAGCGACTATTAACTTCTACAATTGAATTAAGGAAAAACAAAAATGTGAGGACTTTTCTGTTGTTGGTGGTGCTTGGTTTTTAAAATTGCAGCAAGTTGGTAATGACAAAATGAAGTTAAATTTTCTGCTTACCTCTTAAAAGCAGATCTGAAGTATTCAATGTATACTAGTCTCAGAATGTGCAACTAATGGGGTGAAAAATATATCTTGTATTCTCTGATATGTTTTATATTTTTCTATTTAATCAAATTTCATATTAGCATGTTATTCTTGTAGTTGTACACACTTACTGACATCCTGAATAAAATGATGTACAGATACTACTTTCAACAGTTATAACTTGCTCTTTAAAATCTCATTCAAAAGCAAAGAATGTAAATGTAATTGCCACTTGGATTCATCAGAAACACAGCTAAACTAATCATTAATAGCTATCTTTCACAAAAAAAGCTGCATAATCTGATAAAAAAAGAACAAGAAGTTTAAAGAATATTACAAAAAGTGTTAACACTATTTGCACATTCCTCCTCACTGAGTTCCCCCCATTGTGATCATATCAGGCTTGTGCTATTTCTGTAAATTCATTATAATTTCTTTATCAATCCCTTGCAACAGAATTTTCACAAGAACTCTTTACCACATAAATACAGGTGAAGTGCTGTTTCATAGAAAAACATGCAACACTTTTATTCTTACACTGCAACAGCCTGTATGAGATAATACATTACTGAAACTGTGACAAGATAGGAATTTTACCAGGGAAGTCTGAGAATTATGTTCCACTAATTGAAGAGAATGATTCTAAAGAAAAGGATTTATTTAACTTATTGTTGTTATTATGACACTGAACACTCAAATCTCAGCCAGAAAACTGTACCTGTTTAGGAAAGGAGATTCTAATCTTATTTTTAACTCCCCACCAAACTCCAATGGAACACAGACTGGAAAAAGGGAAAAAAGATATAATCTGCTAACAGCATGAATCCCTGCAGCATGAGTACCACATATTTCATTTGGGAGAAAACAACCAAATGCATAAATCACACCTGCTTTAAAAAAATCCCAAGCAGACAACATAACCAAAAAAAAAAAAAATTTAAAAAATTAAAAAAAAAAAATCTCCCAAACTTTACATATTTACTGTTTCAATTTTCAGTGGAAGAATTTTATTTGACATCTAATGCATATGAAAGTATTGTGAAGGATAACTGGTCACAGAAGAAGTTGATATAGCATGGCAATATAGAAAAATGTTTTTAAATATTCTGGAGGTTTCAGCAGTAACATATACACACCTCAGAGTTTTAGTAAATTCCACCACACACGACTTCACAGACACAGCAAAACATAAGGGTTCATGTTTCGTAACTCACAAAAATGAAGTTAGTGCAGATAAAAATTCTCATATTAAAATGCGAAATTTTGATGTTTCTATTCTCAGAAGACAAAACTTTAATGCTCCACTGACACAAATGTAAAAGGAAGGATTCAAAGCCTGCTTTAATTCCAGAGGTCTTTCCATAAATTTGAAGCAGCATGTTGATCTGTACCAATGCACAACCATAGCGCTACTTCGCAGAACAGTTTTTGAAAATTATTGTTAGACTTAGCAAAAGTCCCAGAATGGAGCTGTATTCTATGTTCCACAAAGATTATTCAAGAGGTTCATGTGTGAGAATCTCCTACATGTATTCAAGTAACATCACACACAGACAGAATATTTATAGTTAGAAGAAATGGGGAAATAATATTTCTATAGTTAAGGAATCTTCATTGACTGTATTCTTGCATGAGGACACATATTATCAATACACATTCTAGGAGAAATTCTGGCAGATGCTCTTTAGCAAAGAGAATTTTAACATCACTTGGAAAAACTGTACTTATTCCATTATCTTTCAAATTTCAAATCTTGTTTAGACAGCATATGACAATTCTAAACATAATAATCTCATTAACTGTCAGTAAGTGTGCAAATAAATACTGAAAAAAAAATTACAAAGCACTAATATATACCATCCACATTCATTTATGCAAATTCTCATCTCTTCATAAAGCCTAAAATTAACAGGGCATTGGTGTGCTGGCAGGCAGTTATAATTATCTTTTCATGTTTCTGAAGGTACTTTAGAATCACCAAATCCATGCATGGACACAACAATAGCAGAGGCAAACCAGCTGATAGAAGTCTGAACACCCACAAACATGATAAAAATTGATACAGCTACTTACATCATGGACTACGAGTTCTGTCTGAGTGGATTTGTCTGCTTGGGAAGCAAGAGCTTTCTGAAAGCACTGAGCCTTTTCCTGCAAAACAAAATAACATTGCATAGGTGAGTCATGGTTTTCCTCACTGGGCTTCCCAGTGAGGCTTCCAAACATCCAGATAAATTCAAAACTCATGCACGGAGAGCTAGTAAGAAATAGATATATTATGGTGCTATTCACAGTGGGAGGTTGATTTCCTTCCTATTATATGCTTTTATAAATTTATCTTTCTCTTAAATAGAGTGTGGACTCAGATAGTCCAACTCTGTGGTATGGTGGGGCCCACAAGAAGGATGGCACTGAGGCAGACAGGGATGAAGCACTGAGCAGCTGCAGGGACTCCAGCAAATACCAGTACTACTCCCACAGCAAAGAAATAATTTACTTTTTAAAAAACATTAAGGAATATGCAAACTTGCATATCACAAGCCTAAGATGACTTCTACTCTGCCCCCAACAGGAACATGTCAGTATATCCTAAGCATTTCTTGGGTATTGCACTGGTTTCTGCTTTTCCCATCCTTGTCCCTCTGTATCCCAATAATTTTTTGAAGTGCTGCATGGAATCTCTGGACAGGCTTGAGCAAAGATGACACAAAAACTCCAGATTCTGATACTTCATTTGAAACTGATCACTAAGCTTGCTGATCCTCATCAAGCCCTTGAGCATACTATTTTAGTTTCCAGGAGAAGGCATTTGATAGAACAACTGTAAATATGTGGGGTAAGGCAGAAAAAGGCACACAGGAGGGGAAGTAGAATGCAAAGTTCTTTATTGCATTGATTTATGTTTTCCTGCTTACTGATTCAGTTTAATTTTTCAGTTGTGTCTGTAAAAAATCCTTACCTTGAACTCAAACTCCTCAAGATCTACAAATTATAATTGAATGCTACTGACAGGTATGTATTACAGTAAAACAGAATTTGTTTAAATTCAGTTTCAAGTTAACTGACTCTCAAGTTCTCATATTATTTGATTCAAGGCAAGATATGCACATCACTACATTGACTAAACAGCAGAAAGAAGTAAACACCTGAGTGATCCTTATCTCCAGTATTACAACTCTTCAAATAAGGGCTGGGGGAAAATAGAATCAAGACTGATCTCTTCACTTATACAAAACACTTGAGCCCAAATTTGTTCCTGTAACAACCAAGTTAAAACTGAGTTCATAGAAAAGAAATCCTAGTTCTGACACAAATTGTCTTCTTGAGGTTTGAATTACTAGCCCACTACCCAGCTCACTTTTACATGTTTAAATAACAGGCATTGTGATATATCTACTGTCTTATTTTACTACTTTTTACTGATCAGAAGCTCCTTGAATTTTCAAGTTATAATCATAGATGTGTTCAAGAACTTGGTGTTCAAGTAACATAGTGATTGTAGCAATTAAGCAGTGTATCTGACCAAAATTTAATATTTCTGTTCTTTCTGTGTGGACTCAAAATAAATTTTTTGAAGAAGCAGAGAAAAAAAGACCAGAATAAATCCAAATATTCATTAAGGCAACAACTAAACTGGGAAAGCTAGAAAGGTTGGAATAACAAAATTCTTTCCTTTCCCAGAGCTGCTCCTTTAACTATGCATATGCAGTGTGATTCATTTTTAGCATATCCAAGTTCTGACTCCATATTAACATAGTAATCCTTCTTATTTACTTTTAGGGAGCTAACTAATAAAATGGGAAAAGCTGAAAATTACTAGATGTCCAGGTACTGGAAAAGAAAGTCTGAAACAAAACCCCTCTTCTTTCTTCTCAAGTATAGCAAAATATAAAATGAAAGATCTTTACAAGTTAGGCAGCACTCTTTAACACCGCTTCAGAGCAAAGGAGTTACCTGGACATCTGTTCACACAGCAGCCTTCTACTACCCTCACAGCATTACTCCTAGGGATGGTTACTATTATAAGGCAACATTTTAAAGTAATGATTAAAGTTTTTTCAAGTACTGAAATTTCCTTGAGACCTTCTTGCCATTTTAAAAGACAAAAATTACCTTCTCTCAGAGGCTTCCTAATGAAACTGAATAATTATTGACTTTTTCCATATGTGACCCAGTCCTGCCTTCTGCCCTTTCTCCATGTATCTGAGAGGAGTCAACTCCCCCTTCTCAAAGACATTATGTAATAAAAAGACTGTAAATAGATATTTCCTTATCATTTTTCTTAACAAGGTAAACAAAAATCATTTGTCTCTCTAAAGACTAAGAAGGGACCAAATAATTTATTTAAAATATTTTTAGGATCAACCAAACTACTTCTAGGTGACTTTTTAAAATTGAGAGCATTAATGAGCATCTTTTATTACTATTCTGTGTATTGTTATTGCTTCTTATTAAAACAAACAGCACAAAAGTAAATTAGTAGGTGAAACAGATAAGAGCATGAAAAACTTTTATTCCCTGGCTTCATCTAATTACTGGAAAGGCAGGAAGAGCTGTTGGATGTATTAACAACAAAACTGCCAGGAACATTCATTGCATCCCTCTCTCTGAAGCACCTGTATGTGTAACTGTGTGTGTTTTGAAGGGAGAGAGAGAAAAAACAACATGGAAGGATATTTTCTCAATCATTGCAGTTACTTCAATTATTGAGATTACTGACTATGGTATTTCAACAACCACAGTGAAAAGCTGTGGTTTATAACAAAGATCATGTTCCTGTCTATTTCTTCACAAGGGAATAAGTTCACCTATAGTTTATATCTCAAACTAGCTCTGGTATAAGAGTGCTTGAATTTATTGATTTATTTATTTGAATACTTACTATTTTATTACTATGCTTGTAATAAGTCACCAAAAGATGCAGCAATAGGAAGACAACAGACATCAGCTGATAATTGATGCAAGTAAAAGTATTACAAATAAAACAAAAAAGTGAAATGTAAGAGAAAAAAAGTAAGAAATGTAAGACAAAGAAAAGGACTTAAATCTTCCCCACTGAAAGGCAGATAGTAGGAAAAAAGTAGTCAGTTACTTAGATTTAGGAGTCAGTAAGGGTTGATACTGATACATCTTGAAACATGACATTGCTTTTCCAAAACGTTCCTCCTCTGAATGGGAGAGTATCAAAAAAAATTTCACAGCTTTGACTGCAAACATGTCAAAGTTATTTTTTGTGACTGTTTTCTTATTCCACTCCCTACCAGTGACAGCATGGTGACCACTTGTGGTGCTTTGTTTAACTGCAAATTCCAAAGATAAAATGCTTGACAATTACTTCAAAGGGTCACATTAAATCAAGGAGCAAAACTTACTCCTTCAGCTATTTTAAAGGAGTCAAAACTCTTGTCATGGTTTGACACGGAAAAATAATTTTTCCGTAAGGAAGAGGTCAATTTGGATATGGACCAATTGAAGGTGGACACGCCTCTGAGAACACAGAGGGGTTAAAAGCAGAATTCCCAGGAGAACTCACTCTCTTTGGTTCCGGTCAGCATGCAGTGCAGCCTCTCCCCTGCCCGGCCGTGGCTGGGTGGGGAGGGGAAGCCCCATGGCCTGAATGAGGGGGGCCAAGGGTGGAGGGACTGGAACCGGGCTGGCCCCTGCAGATGGAAGGGTAGAGGAAATCTGGGATGTCTCCGTTCCCCCCCAGACTTGAGAGAGAGAGAGAGAGAACAAGACAGCAGCAGCAGCAGTTTTTATCAGCAGTTTCACCGTGGGGAAGGAGAAGAGCGAGGGGGGCTGCAAAGTGCCCAGCTGCCTGTGGGAGCCGGAGCCCAGGCAGAGAGCCAGCCAGGGAGTTTGGACTTTTAACCCTTCCTTGAGAAATGAAAGCTTGTGAATTTTTTTTTCCTTCCCCTCCTCAGTTTGAAAGACAGGAAGAGAGACAGCTTGGACCCTGGAATGTTAAAAGGAGAAATTCTAGATGGGAGGAGATGAGGAGTGGCTTTTTGGCTGGACTTTTTCCTTGTTGGCCACAAACTGAAACAATTTTTCTACTCCAAGAGAGACTGTATTTTGGGAGGATGCCAGTGAGCCAAGAGACCTGCTTCAGCTGGGAAAAGACAGAAGTGGAGCAAACAGAGAAAAGTTAGGGGGTTTGTGGTGGTGCCCCCTTTCCTCAAAAGAAGGAGAAGAGAAGAACATCTCTGTTCTTGGACCCTCAGCCCCAGGGGAAAATGGGAAAATGGGGGGACTGTGGTCCCAAAAAATGAAAAAACTGAACTGTTGTTTTTTCCCCCCTCTTGGCAGGGCATCCTTGAAAGGAAAAATCCTAAAAGCAGTCACCACACACACACAGGGGGGGAGAGAACACTGCACAGAAAAAAGAAAAGGCACAACAGCAAAAACTTTCTCCCGGCGCGGCCACATGTGACACAGAAAAACACAAGATGCCACAGCTGTGTCTCGTGGGGGGTCTGGCACAGAAGAGACACCGGTTCCCTCGATGGACTGAGTATCGATTGTTTGGAGGGTGGAAACCTGATTGGGGTC